ACTTAAGTGTATTGCTGTCACAGATACTAACATTGATAACAAAGTTGCTAAATATATTTGTAGAAATAAGGAGGTTTAGTTAAGAGCAGTAAACATTTCTGAAGAATATTCCAAGTGTTCTAAGAATTTCATCCACATTAGACTCATTTATTGTTTTGGGAGTCCTGTAAGCTTAGTCGTTAAGTCGTGTCCGACTCTTTGTGACCTCATGGACCACAGCACGCCAAGTCCTCCTGTCTTCCACTGCCTTCCACATACTCCTGTAAGCTAGGGTAGATAGGAAGCTTCAGATGAATTTAAATTAAATTTTACCAGTGTTCTGATCTGGTTTACATTGTGAAAACTGCACCAGCAAGGTTTTGCCCATTTAACATTTAGAAGTTAAAATTATTATACTGTAGTTCTAGTCCTGAATTTATCCTGCAACAGCCATGGATTTCCCTCAGGGATTCTCTGGAAAATCTTTGCAATGGAAAGCCGTATTTTTAAAGCATAAATGTTTTTGCGAAGGCTTTCACGACCGGGATCTAATGGTTGTTCTGGGTTTTTCGAGCTCTTTGGCCATGTTCTGAAGGTTGTTCTTCCTGACGTTTCGCCAGTCTCTGCGGTCTCATCTTCATTGGACAGCAGAGGACAGGTTGCTGTCCTCTGAAGATGCCGGCCACAGAGACTGGCGAAACGTCAGGAAGAACAACCTTCAGAACATGGCCAAAGAGCCCAAAAAACCCAGAACAGCCATAATTGTTTTGTCAGATGATGACGTGAGGGAAGCAACTTACAAATGTCCAGATACTCAGCGATTGCAACTGTTGTCTTTCCTCTCGATTGGCTGTGCTGGCCAAGGCTGATGGAAGCAGCAATCCTGGAGGGCTCTAATCTGTCATGCCTTGAACTGGAGAAATAAAAACATATGTACTGTGTGTTCCTCATTACAAATTATGCATATTATTGACTTAAAGAATGTCCCATCCTTAAAGACGGACAGGACATAGTGGAGAGTTCTGACTACATGCGATCCACCTGGAGCAGGCATTGGCAAGCCACTCCAGTATCTCTGCCAAGAAAATCCTACGAACAGAAACAAAAAACTAAAAGGTATGAAGCTGGAAGATGAACTGACACAAAAGAAAGATGTTCTTCTCATTCTAGGAGACTGGAATGCTAAAGTAGGGAGTCAAGAGATAAAAGGAACAACAGGTAAGGTTGGTCTAGGAATTCAGAACGAAGCAGGGCAAAGGCTAATAGAGTTTTGTCAAGAGAACAAGCTGATCATCACAAACACTTTTTTCTAACAACACAAGAGGTGACTCTCACATGGAAATCCCCAGATGGGCAATACCAAAATCAGATTGATTATATTCTCTGCAGCCAAAGATGGAGAAGCTCTATACAGTCAGCAAAAACAAGACCTGGAGCTGCTTGTGGCTCTGATCATCAGCTTCTTATAGCAAAATTCAAGCTTAAACTGAAGAAAGTAGGAAAAACCATGGGGGTTGTCGGGTATAATTTAAACCAAATCCCTTATGAATACACAGTGGAAGTAAAGAACAGATTTAAGGAATTCCATTTGGTGGGCAGAGTGTCTGAAGAACTATGGATGGGGGCTCGTAACATTGTACAGGAGGTAGCAACAAAAAACATCCCAAAGAAAAGGAAATGCATGAAAGCAAAGTGGCTGTCCAACAAGGCTTTACAAATAGCGGAGAAGAGAACAGAATGCAAGGGAGAGAGGGAAAGTTACAGAAAACTGAACACACAGTTCCAAAGAATAGCAAGGAGAGACAAGAGGGCCTTCTTAAATGAACAGTGCAAAGAAAAAGAGGAAAATACTAGAAAGGGTAAAGCCAGAGATCTGTTCAAGAAAATTGGAACTATTAAAGGAACCTTTTGTGCAAAGATGGACATGATAAAGGACAAAAATGGTAGGGACCTCACAGAAGCAGAAGACATCAAGAAGAGCTGGCAAGAATACCCAGAGAAATTATACCAGAAAGATCTGGATGTCCTGGACAACCCAGATAGTGTCGTTGCTGACCTTGAGCCAGACATCTTGGAGAGTGAAGTCAAGTGGGCCTTAGAAAGCATGGCTCACAACAAGGCCAGTGGAGGTGATGGCATTCCAGTTGAACTATTTAAAATCTTAAAAGATGATGCTGTTAAGGGGCTACACTCAATATGCCAGCAAGTTTGGAAAATTCAGCAGTGGCCAGAGGAGTGGAAAAGATCAGTCTACATCCCAATCCCAAAGAAGGGCAGTGCCAAAGAATGCTCCAACCACTGTACAATTGCACTCATTACACATGCTAGCAAAGTTATGCTCAAAATTCTCCAAGGCACACTTCAGCAGTACTCCCAGAAGTACAAGCTGGATTTTGAAGGGGCAGAGGAACTAGAGACCAAATTGCCAACATGTGCAGGATTATGGAGAAAGTGAAAAAACGACTGAACAACAATAATCTGTAGTGTATTTTTAAAAGATTTTTCTCTCATTTCAGCACCTATGGCAATAGAATTTGGTTTACCTGTCTTACTCTTCAACATTTGTTTTGCACAAAGGGTATAAATTGTGATATACTTACAGCAGTGTTGTGTTGTGTAAATAAATAAAATAAATACAGTGGATAGACAATGACTCAGGAGGCCTGGGTTCAAATGTGCACTTGCTCATGGAAATTTGTATGTGTGTGTGGCATGGAACTGGTAAAGCTACTCTTTAAGATAGCTCATTTCCCTTGAAAACTCTCTTAGCATCACTAGAAGTTGCTTCCAATTTGATGACCTATAACGTAACACTCAACATTATTTAAGTTAGAAAGATTCTGAGTGGCTTTAGATCAAATAGGATTTGAAAATTTCTTGGTTTGTGAATTATCAATAACTGGCCTAAGAATAATATGCATATGGTCCATACAAGTTCAAGTTTATTTATAGATAATATTTAAACATAGACGCTAATCCAGATATACCGTACTCAAAGTTAGCATCATTCCAGCTCTGCAGTTCTGAGATGATGATAATGATGATTATAAAATATAGAACGCTAAAACACTCTTACTCAATTTGTATTTCTGTCTGCCTTTGTGTAATAGAGTGTGCCTGTTTAATAGGTGCTAAAGAAATATGTCTGGCATTTTAAGTCCTACCCATATGTTATAATCAGTCCAATTCACTTTAATGTAGGCAAAGACCTTTAAAAATGCAGATTTAACAGGCATTGAAGTAAATGCAGTTCTGTTAAATTCAGTGGGGCTCAACTGATTTAATTTGTGGTATTCTAGCTAAATGATAGTGTCAATTGGCCTGCTTCTTTTATTTAGCAAGACAATTTATCAACTTTTTTGAATTTGACATAACAGTGAGTAATCCTAAATTTAGTCTTTGAATTGTTCCAGCTGAAATATCTGTCCTTTGGTACCATCTTGTGGCAAGATATATAATATGCGCTCTTCATGCACTTTAATCAAAACCTCCATTTATAACTGTTAAAACGTGCACCAGTATCTGTCTGAAAGGGCCCTCATTCAGAGAAAGGAGCGTACATTCATATATTGGGAATCTATGTTTAGCTTTTCTTTACTGTTTTGTGTTCAGAAATTTGGAAAGCATTTTAAAAAGTTTTGCAGATGAGGAAGTCTTTTGTAGCTGTTATAGCAAGAACTGGAAAGCAAAGCATTTTGCAAGACGTACGTGATAACTGCAGGGTTTCCCAGTTAATGCAACCAATTGAAAAAGAGAGAGCAGGATGGAGACTATATGAACTGGATTTGAACAAGCAGACATGAGTAAGCAGAATATTAAGCAAGCGTATTTTGTCCATTTCCTCACTTGCCATTTGAAAAGGAAGTATCATCTCTTGGAAAATGAGCCAGGACACTATGGGTTGGACCCAGACTTATTAAAATAAATAGGATTTAAAGTTAGTCTTAAGTATCTCATTGAAATATGGATCCAGTCATATGGCATCTGGTCTTCTGTCTTGTAGAATCCTGTGTGATCATTCCTGTCACCATGTAATGTTCACAGACAAGAGTTGTACTCATGGGCAAACCTGGCTTTCTCCAGCTGGACCCAGAGAGGCATATCAGGAGGTTTGCTTTTAACTAATCATGGGCTGAAATCTTATTGATGTAACTTTAAGCTGTGTAAGTACAGATTGGCAGCAGCGACCCAATCCTGTTGTTGTTTAGTCATTAAGTCGTGTCCGAGTCTTCGTGACCCCATGGACCAGAGTACTCCAGGCAACATAGATTCTAGCAATTAAAGCCTTACCGCAACCTCCGTCCCAAGGCTCCTGAAGGCTTTGCCAGGGCAAAAGAGAGCCCATGGGAGCCTTGGAACCTGAAACGGGGCTCAATGAGATGGGAAGCTTACAGTTCAGTTAAATCAAATTAAATATTTGTATGGTGGGCTGATGACATCATTCTATTTGCACAGCATAAAGTTACGGCAATAGGATTTTGGCCAGGGATTCTCACTGTGTCTGGCCCTATACAAAAATTGTTAGTGTTGGGTATGGATTACTGAAATAAACCAGCTTCTTAATGATTGTCAATGTGCTTCAATATGCCAGAACAAATACAGTTCACAGTTCTTACTTGACAAAAATGACAACAACCACAAGCAGCTGAAAATGGAAGCGAAAGCTTCCAAACTCTTTGGTAGCCACTCTAAATAACTGAGGTCTGCCCTCAAAACAATAAATTGTGGTTTAATGTTCTTTGCAAGACCAAGCCTCTGTTTTTAAATGGGCATCCCTTATCACTTGGGATATTTCTTATTTTAACTATTTTTTTTAAAAAAATGGATGCATGTTATATTTTTCTTCACAGTTTTTGTATTTTGAAAATTAGAATATTTGATTACTAATAACATCTTTTTCAGCTACTGTATTGTCCCCAGTTCTGTGTTTTAATTAATGAATGACTAATTACAGTAGTAAAAAAAGACTTCAAACTTTCTCTTTTTAAAAAATGATATAATTTTGTGACTTTTCTTCCTAGTTACTGCTATATGAAAAGACATGGATGAACAGATGGAAACCTTCTGTTTTACATGAGGGAGAAGGAAATATTAGAAGTGTCAAATGGAGAGGAAATTTGATCGCTTGGGCCAATAATATGGTAAGTATTAAGAGCTGGCTTTATTTAGATGAATTGATCGATTCGAGCTTTAATTGCATTAAACAATATATGTAAATATTGTAAATTTTTAGGGGTGTTCACGGTCTGAAATATCTTTTCCATTCCCACCTCTTTTCTAATGGACATGTGTTCCTGTCTAAGTAGTACGACAGTGGACCCAGTTACCTGGTGAGTGCTTCAACACTGGAGGCATTGAAGAAAAATTTAGATAATCACCTGGCAGATAGGCTTTGATGGTATTCCTGCATTGAGCAGGGGGTTGGACTTGATAGCCTTGTAGCCCCTTCCAACTTCACTTTTCTATGATTCTATGATTTTAAGAAGCAGGAAAGAAAGATGTAGACATAAACATGTTCCAAGACAAATGTGTGGTGTGTGGAATACCAATAACCTCAATAAATTATTTTAAGTGTTTTATAAGAAGTGTTACAGTAAATTCAACTCATGGGTATAGATATTTTTTGCTCATGTAAGTCCCAATGGTAAATACTGCCTACAGAGATACAGTTGTCACTGTCTGTCTGCCTGCTTTGCTCACTTATATACTTCAAGACAAAATTATAGTCTGATGCAGAAGAGATAGACCAGTATAGACAGTTTCTTCCAACTGGCTCCAATTCTTTGCCCACGCACCAGTATCCTTTCTGTGTCCGCCAGAAGAATCATGTTGCCACCTTAGTATCACCTGTGATACAGTATTTCTGGACTGTGGTTTTGTATATGAAGTGCCACACTGAATTCTCTTACTGTGCATTAAACTTCCAGGGCGTGAAGATACTTGATGTGATTGCTAAGCAAAGAATCACCAACGTGCCCCGAGACGATATAAGCCTCCGTCCTGATATGTATCCCTGCAGCCTTTGCTGGAAAGATAATTTAACACTGATTATTGGCTGGGGAAATTCAGTAAAGGTACAATTACCTGTCTTTGTAATAAATGCTTGCTGCTATCACAGACAAACAGAGGATTATTTCTGAAAAGCAAAGGTGATAGTGGGAGAAAAAAAAGAAGGGAATTTGATTTGACTACTGTGCGGAGAACTCCTGCTGCCATAGAAATGTCATTGGTTTGACCTTCATAAGAAGGAATAATGACAAATGCCCAGTGGTCAGATGGATTGCTCTGAGCGTGTGCAGTAGGCAAGGCTGTGGGATGAACCTCTTTTCTTTGTCTTCAAGAAATGCTTTCTGAGAGCTGTTAGGAGGGACTTGTGAAATTCATTATCTTTGCTTATTCTAGACAGGAAGTGCTTAGCATAAATGTTTTTGCAACCACTTCTCATCAGGCAGTATTTCTTGTGGATGGTAAAACTAATGTGAGGATATTTATTGCTGAATGCATGATTTCTCAGAAAGGTCATAGAAAACAGCCAGAATTCAGCTACTGCTTTCCAGTACAGTAGGTGTTTTCTATAAAGCAGTCTCAGGTAGCAGCTCTTCCTTTCTGAAGAAAAAAGAAAAAGGACAATGGAAGAAAGCAAACAGATATCTAAGAATCCCATTTCATACAGTAACAGAAAAATATATAAGGTTGCAATCCTATACTGAGTTTCTGGGAATAAGCCCCAGTGAACTTTCATTACTCACATGTAAAGAATTGCATTGTGCTGAGTGGTGTGGGAACCATTACGCAGTGAAGTTCTGGAAGGCTTTTTGTGATATGTTTATGAAGTGTGCATTTTCTAAAGAAGCGAAGAATTTTTAACGTAAATATTTTTGTCATTCTAACACACCATTAACTGGGAGCTTGTGAACCTGTAAACAAGGTGTTTGTGTGTGGGAGAGGGTCACTCTGCAGCATATCAATACTACAAACTGTTTGGTTGCCTGGACTTTTATAAACAAGAATATCTCTTTTCTCAGATGCATCTGTCAGGTAGACTTACCTAAGAAATTAAATTTCGTATCCCTTGAAATAACACATTTCTTTGCTGCCTTTTCTATAACAACCTGTCGTAACAACCTATTCACCTGGAATCTGTAAAAGCAGAGGTAGTAAAAATAATGCTACATTTCAAAACCAAAAAAAAGCCAAACTTCTTCCAGAATTACGATCAAATGTATTTCTTCACTGCATCATTTTGAATTCTGCTCTTTCTTAAAATGTGTATTACAACATTTCTTAAAACATTGAAATGTTGTGTGCTTTTTCCTAAGAGAAGCAACTACATTAATTAATTTGATTACTTTGTTTTATAGATATGCTCAGTAAAAGAACGACATGCCAGTGAAATGCGTGACCTGCCTAGTCGTTATGTGGAAATCGGTATGAGGATAGCATGTTTGCCATTAACTTGCAGCAAAGCTTCTCATTAATGTTGAAATCATGTCATCTTTCTGTTTTGTTCATTGTATTTTATTTATTCGTTTAAAATATTTTTATCCTGTCTTTCTCCCAAAAAGGATTGAAGGCAGCTTGTAGTATTAAAAAGAAACATTGTTTGAAGCTAAATAAAACCACAATACATTATTACAATATTTAAAAAGAATTAAAGATATGTCATATTAAAAATACTAGATAATAAGTACTAAAACACTTTAAAAGCAACACATTTAAAAGCAGTTTCTTAAGAAAGAAATGTCTTTCCAGGAACAGAGATTCAATGACACACTTTAGTGACATTCTCAAGTATTTTCTGTGTAGGAAGTTGTTTGAAAGGGGCAAAGAACTGGACACCCGCTTCTCTGAATCTGAGAGAAAGTTCGTTGTGCTGGCTGAAGTACTACATTCAGATGATTGTGAACAGGTCATATCTTTGTGCATTGTGCTACAAAATACAAGGTTGTCTGATTCTCATCACTGTTCATACGTACTGATAGAAAATGGTTGTATATAGGTGAGCTTCTTGACAAATAAATAGTTGCAGTGTGGACTCTAGCGTAGGGAGAGATGACGGATACTATTTAAATGTGTTCTGTAGGCAGCATTCTGAGGAAATGGCAGAGGTGGAGCTGGTAGAGGAGAGGAGTTATTTTGTCATAAATCTGCCCAGGCATGTATTGTAAGGGTAGAGTATTTGTGGAGACAGCTTCTTTATCTTCCCTCTTCAGCCTGCAGTCTTCCTTACATATTTGAGGATCAGTGCTTTATCTCACTTAGCTGCTAACAATCTGTTTGAGATTTCTGCGTTCTGGTTTCAGATCACAGCACTCCAGCTCCACTGAATGCTGTGAACATCACTCCTTTAAACATAGCTTGGATGAGGCTGAGAGGAGCTTGTCATTTATCCATGTCTTAATAGAGATTACAGTATCTGATACCATCTTGCTTAAGAAACTTGTACAAGGCATATGATTCTCATTTCTGAGTGTGTTAAGGCCTTACTTTCAGGAAGATAATATGTGAAAATTCAGTTCTGTGATATGAGGCAGCCAAATGACCAATCAGGATTTTGTTTCTGTTACTAAAATGTGGCATAGCAGGTATATTATGTGCTGGTTCCAACACAATACACATTGCACGAGATTGCAAGATTTGGCCTAGTGATTAGACCAGGGCAGTTGATCTTTAGAGGTCTAGGGGCCATATCAGTCTATCTCTGGATCTTAGAGCACTGCACCCATTTCCTCAGCCCAAATAACTTTTTTTCAAATATGGGACTTTTTATCTTCTTAGCTATTTATTTATATTTTATTTTTAAATTTGAGGTATCGGGAATCCAGATGTGCTGAGGGAACATCAGAACATACAAAACTTGCTCCTATACCCTCTGGAAGGCATAAAGTGGCCTTATTCTCCAGAATTTTGAAAAAGGTTAAGATTGTCTTTTGGAAAGTGTGAATGTTCAGGCAGCCATATTTGGGACTGTGGGGGCCACATTTCACAGCAGGGCCTAGACGAAATAGCATCCTAGCTAAAAAGTATCTCCTTCATCGGGTCAACTTTTGAATATTATCTTTTGTACTGTTCACTTAAACCCTCCTTTTGGAATATTAATGTAAACTTTTGTGCACATTATGTACCCCAAAATATAAAGTGATAGGTTTGCATATATGCTCTGTTGGCAGTAGCTTTTAATCATTCACATACATGCTGTTTGATGAATGGACATTGACTTAGTAAATTTTCTTACCAGACATATGCAGAAAGAATTCTAATACAGTGAGCCAGGCCATACAGATCAGTGTTTACCAGCTTTACAAGCGAAGATTGACTGTTTCCCAGTTTGGTTTCACATGTTGAATGGATGGTTGAATAAAAGAACATGTGACAAGCAACCCCCAGTCCTGGTGTTTCAGGTGGTCACCTGGTCCTACATTTACCGTATTTGCCAGCGTATAAGATGACCTTTTTTGCCCAAAAACATGCCTCCAAGTGGGGGTCATCTTACTCGCCGGGTACACTTCAGTTGGGCCAGGAAGGAGCCGCCGCCACTGCCGCTGCCATTGAGTGAGTGACACGGGGCCGCGCCAGCCGGGGAGGAAGGCAGGCGGGCAGGTAGACAGGCGGTCTGGACAGAGGGAGGGAAGCAGAGCCAACCATGCCTGAGCGGCCAGAGTCCGCCGCTGGGCTGCCTGCCGCCCCGCCCCGCTGAGCCAGCTGCCCGCTTGCCCGCCTGCCACCAGAGAGATTCCCCTCCTCCTCCTCCTCCTCCTCCTCCTCTGCTGCCGTCACCCGCCCGGCTGCTTCCCTCTCTCCTCTCCCTCCTTGGGCCTTGTTGCTGGCTGAGCCAGCTGCCCACTTGCCTACCCACTGCCAGAGAGCTTCCCCTCCTCCTCCTCCTCTGCTGCCATCGCCCACCTGGCTGCTTCCCCTCTTTCTCTGGCCTCATTGCCTGCTGAGCCAGCTGCCTGCTCTCCTGCTGGTCGCCGGAGAGCTTCCCCTCCTCCTCCTCCTCCTCCTACGCTGCCATCGCCCACCTGGCCGCTTCCCCTCCTCCTCTCCCTCCTCAGGCCTCGCCGCCAGCACCGCAGCAGAGCTGTCCACTAGTTTGAGTGGAAATGTTGGGGGTTCATCTTATACGCCCGGTCATCTTGTACACCGGCAAATACGGTAGCCCATATAAACTCTGTATTCCTCGTCCCTTTATTAGATGCTTAGGGTGAACCGAGGCACATGTATCCATGTTTATATAAAATTTGACCCTGGCCATGGAATAACACTTGTGGAGGATGAACCTCATAAGCATAAGTCTTTTACATCTGAATGTCCATCCATAAACCCTATTTCATGCAAAATGTTCTGTGGATCGAGAATACAATTTAGAGGTTCCAAAGATTTGATCCTTTGTCCTTCTTGCCAGATTTATATAAAAATACACTTAAGAGCTGATTCTCATGTATAGCTTCTTTATTGGTGAAAGAGAGAGAGAGAGAAGGAAGGAGGAAGCAGTCATTTTAAAAAATCCTTTGTGTGTTTCTATATCGACTGCATTGCATAAAGCTGAACAAATTACTCAGTCCAAAAAGGCTCAAGGTCAAGGGACTTGTGAGATTGTTCCAGAATAAGAATCTCTTTATACATCTGAGAAAGAGACGTTCTTATCCATCCATCCATCCATAGGTGTCTGGCTTTTTAAAAATGTACACAGATAAAAATTACCATCAGGTCAACCAGCCAGAGATATCCTCTTGTGTGCATCAGCTGTGAGTCTACTTAATATTAAGTTGAGTGCATTGATTGTATCTGTTACAATCTTCTAATGGCCTATGAATTGTCTTGTTTGATTTTTAGTATGTGAAGTCAAGAGACAGCTGTGATGTTTTCCAGATAGCTTCTGGTGTCCCTTCCCCCCAAAAAAACATTCATTCGGTTCATATGATGGCTCTGTGGCAAATTGTTAGGGGAAAGATACAGAATCAAGAGTTGTGATTGCATTCCGTAATCTATCCCTGTCTTCCAGACAGATTGGATAAATCATAGTTTTAGTTTCTACTCTATCTTAAAATGGACCCAGGAGTGTAGAATTCAGGAAACTACACTCTAATGTCTGAATCCTTGTTCAGTTCCTGCCTGTTCAGTCTTCATAGGGACTTATTTTTGTTAACGGCTTGCTGTATGGCAGACATGAATTGATGCCCTGAGTCCTTCCTGCTACCTCCTGCACATCTGACAGTCTGCCACGGTAGCTAATAATTCCTACTTAAAGTTAACTGTTGCACTTGAATTGTAAGTCTGACACAGCACAAGTTCTTATGGTGATAACAGTATATCCTGGTTTGACATTATATAAATGTATTTTACACTGGCTTGCCGCATGGTATGGCAAGAAGAAAAACCTGGACACTTGCCTTTTAAGTTTTATTATCTCTGGAGCACAGTGTTATAAAGTACTGTTTCCTTACCTTCTTGTTCTGTTGTGTTGCTACCGTAGTTTGTGGGACAATAAGAAAGTAATGGCAATGCCCTTGCTTTTAAATCTGGCTGCTCTGCTAAGAAAATAAAACAATGCCCCACTTAATCTTCCTTAAACATCATTTGATTGATGTCTGAGGATTATGCAGGATATGTCTGAGAAAATACAGTAATAAAATCTGATCAGGCTTGATATCTTTAAAGTTTGTTTCTGGTGAAGTAATTACATTTCATGTCTCCTTCCCTTATTTAAGAGAGATGCCTCTTTGAAACTCCCCCATTAATTTATTATATTTGATCCAAGTAAGCTTTAATAAAAAACTAACTGGGTGAATGGACCATAAAGGTTCAGCTTTTTTGGTTGTAGATAAATCCCACTTTGGTTGGAAAACATAGACACTACAATTAGAAATGGTGCCTCCCCCATGTTCACAGCATTTTAGACCTACTGACATTTCAGAACATTTCCCAGAGACACCCCTACATAGTGCACATCAACTGTATTCCAGATACAAAGCAACAAAGGCATGCATCACCATGGTCAGATCAGACATCTCTAGGACCTGAGAGATAAAACTTTATTACGGTCAAAGACCAGCCACAAATAAAACATCAAAATATATAAATTTACAGAGGTATACAAAAATATTGGGATCAAATGCAAATACTCAGTTCTGAGGTGAACAATAACAGCATCAAAACATCTCCCCTAAAGCAATTCCAGATTTTCTAGCAAACCATGCTCTAACTACTTTTAGGGTCCTTTTTCTAATGCCTATTGCAACAGTAAGAAATTTGGCAACCCTATGTGTAAGAATGGGATTAGAGTCAGACAGCAGCACATGCATACATTGTTGCTCTGTACAACCAGGAAATCGGCCAATCAGAGGGGAAACAAGTTCTTCACGTACATCCTTGTAAAATGTGCACCACAAATGGACGTGTTTAATTGTATTTGATCCCAATATTTTTGTATACCTGTGTATATTTCTCTCTCTCTCTCTCTCTCTCTCTCTCTCTCTCGGAGCTGGCACAGCGCACACACTGTCTTCAGCTGAGCAAATGCACGCTTGGTAATGATCAAAACCTGAAAATCAATTTTTGAGAGTTCTCAGTTGTATGGACCAACTCCACATATAAAGGAGCTTCTCCTTCTCAGCTTGTCCCTTTCTACAGGAGAAGATTGAGTATATGCTGGCAAATTCACTTCCACACCTATACAGTGGTGCCTCACATAGTGACATTAATCCGTGCAGCAAAAATCGCTGCTAAGCGAATTCGTCGCTATGCGATTTTAAAAAGCCCATAGAAATGCATTAAAACCTGTTTAATGTGTTCCTGTGGGCTTAAAACTCACCTTAAAGTGAAAATCCTCCATACAGCGGCCATTTTCGCTGCCTCTTAAGCAAGGAATCGGTGCAAAAACACAGCGGGCGGCCATTTTTTACCCGGTGGCCATTTTGGAACTGCCGATCAGCTGTTAAAAAATCATTGCTTTGCGATGATCGGTAAGCAAAACAGAGAACCGATCATCACAAAGCGAAAAAACCCCATTAAAAACATCGCAATGCGATCGCTTTTGCAATCGCAAAATCTTCGTTGCTATACGGTTTCGTTGCTAAACGGAGCGCCCGTTAAGCGAGGAACCACTGTAATAGTTTAAGACCAGAACTGGCCTAGAGAAGAAAGATGAGGATAGAGGGGGGAAAGGGAATTGGCAGAACAAGTGTTCTGCTTTTGGCTATATCCTTGACCACTGTGTGGATGTGATCCTTGACAGATTAGCTCCAAGGGAATGTGGCTTTAACAAGAAAAGGGGGGCACCCTTGCACTACAGTAACAGGATCTCTTGACTGCTCTTCCCTCTTCCCAATCTATTGTGCTTCTCCAGTGCTAGACAAAGCATCTGTGTTCTTGAGCTTAGGCATAGTGGCCTTTATCTAAGGGGCTGGAGACATGGGAGAGGGCCTCTTTTGTTACTGCTCCCAAACTTTGGAACTCACGCCCACAGGAGGCTGTGTGGCCCCATCTCTACTCTCCTTCCACAAGCAAATAAGGACCTCCTTCCTCAGGCATGCTTTCCCTTAGTGGCTGGCTAGTTGAGAGGTGTCTTTAAAATGGATTGTTGTGCCTTGTTGCTTTTAAATGTGTTTTTAGTATTGATTTTATTTACCATTTTTAATATAATATTTGTTTATTCTTCAGCGTGGATTCTTTGGATGCACACAACTGGGTAGCTGCGCCTGCGCAGGAATCCTCGGAATCTTAGAGCTTTAGGAGAAAAAAGATTAACGACATGTTACCCCTATTGCACATGCTCCGCCCGCCTATTCCCCAGTTCCATTTTTTCCGCCGTTGCGAAAGGAACCTCGCGCTAAAGCTCTATAATATTTTCCTTGCTATTGATGTTTTTGAACTCGGACCGTTTGTTCTGACCACGTCTTTCGGATTTCAGACTGTGTATTCTTACGACTGTTACCCCTTGGACTGCCTCTGGACTGTTTTGATCGAGATTTTTGCCTTTCCCGCCCTTTTTTTTGGACTGTCTCCCTTGGCTTACCTGGACTGCCTCAACTTTGTTACCGCCTGCTGCTTGACTCCTTGACTGTCGCTAGACTGTGAGTGCAGCCTGAACCTCTCCCTGCTTTATGTCCCAGTCAGGGCCCCTTAGAGAGTGTGCAATCTGTGCCAGAAAGTTTCCCCTTTACGACGGGCATGAGCACTGTTTAATTTGCCTGGGGGGAAATCACCAGACCCAAGCCTGCAGATATTGCAAAGACCTTCCTAAGCCTGCGCTCAGAGCCAGACAGCAGAGACTGAAACTTTATCTTTGGGAGAGGACACTCTTTGCCTCAAAACCAGACACTATGGAGCTGGTTGCTAGCCCCCCAGAGTCATCACAACTTGAGGGTACCGCCACCCCCACTCCACCCTTGCAGGTGCCTAAAGCCGTGACTAAGGCGGGAAAGAAGCCTAATGCGAAAGCGGGGAAAAAGTCCCTTACCGCTGCGACGTCCTTGGTTCAGGGGGAGGACCTAAAGAAAAAGAAATCTCAAACAAGGAACAAGCCAGAGGGGCAACCCTCCAAGAAAGACAGCCATCTAGCGGTGGTCCTGTGGGAATGACGTTGCGAACACCATGTCTTCCCTGTTGCAATACACATATCAACAGAGGAAAATGAACTAGCAGACTGGTTGAGTCATCTACCCAAACAGACTCATGAAGGGGAATTGGACATTTCAACATATCACGAGATCTGTCACAAGTGGGGAACACCGGTGATAGATGTATTCGCTACATCCACCAACACGAAATGCAGGAAGTTCTGCTCCCGTGTGGGACGCGGCCTGACATCATTGGGGGATGCATTTATGATGAGCTGGGACAGACATCTACTCTATCTCTTTCCTCCTTTTCCTCTGGTACAAAGGACTCTGGTCAAGATCAGGCAGGACAGGGCCAACATTATCCTAATAGCACCTTGGTGGCTACGACAGCCATGGTTCACCACTCTCAGGGCCATGGTTTTAGACTTTGTGAGACTGCCACTCATTCCACACCTTCTTTCCCTGGACAGGGGCCAGGTATTCCACCCGCACCTGCCCTCTCTCCACCTAACAGCTTGGAGGATTCATCTCTGATCTGTGAAATTCTCAACCAGGCCAGGAAACCTTCCACAATGCTCCTATACAAGTACAAATGGAATAACTTCCTACGCTTTGCAGAATCAAGGAGCCTACCACCTAGACCAGTAACTCTGCATACACTGCTCCTCTGTGTCCTCTTTTCGATCAGGGCCTGGCACTCTCTACCTTGAAGGTATACCTGTCAGCAATAATTTCCTTCCAACCTAGGGAATCAGATGGCTAGACTGTTTTCACACCCGACTGTTAAGGCTTTCCTCAGGGGCATCCTAAATTTACGCCCACCTGCAAGGTCACCTCTGCCACAGTGGTTGCTTCGTTTAGTGCTTAAGGCCCTCACGAAACCACCATTTGAACCGATGGCAACCTCAGACATTAAATTGGTATCCTTTAAGACGCTCTTCCTCGTAGCCATCACTTTGGCTAGGAGAGCTAGTGAATTGGCAGCACTGCATCATGACAGCCCTTACCTACAGTTTTTTTTTGGACGAGGTAGTCCTCTACCCTAATTTGTCCTTCCTCCCTAAGGTGGTGCCAAGCTTTCAGCTTAATCAACCTATCTCACTACCTACACTATTCCCGAATCCAACCTCAGACGTGGAATGAACACTTTACTCGTTGGATGTTCGGAGAGCATTGGCCTTCCATACTGCCAGAACTAAGGACTTTCGCTTGACAACCAAACTATTTGTGTGTTTTCATAGTTCTCGTAAAGGCTTTGCTGCCGCTCCGTCTATGCTCTCTAGATGGATTGTGTCAACCATCGGTCTAGCCTACCAGTTACAAGGCAAAGACGTCCCGGAGGGTCTTCGAGCACACTCCACTAGAGTCATGGCCTCATCTACGGCACTGCTACACGGAGTGGACATCCCGGATATCTGCAAGGCAGCCACTTGGTCTACAGCGTCCACCTTCATCACACTCTACAGCTTGGACTTCCGGGCCAAGAATGATGCTGCATCTGGAAGGGCTGTTCTGACATTTGTGCTGGAGTGATGGCCCTCCATCCGGTAAGCGAGCTAGTTAGTCGCCCAGTTGTGTGCATTCACAGAGTCCACGCTGAAGAAAGACAGGTTACTTACCTGTAACCATGGTTCTTCAAGTGGTACTCTGTGAATCCACACATACCCGCCCTGCCTCCCCTCTGTCTGTCACTGGCCCTATGTTGCTCTGCGGAGTTCAACTGGTGGCAGCCAAAATGGAACTGGGGAATAGGTGGGCGGAGCATGCGCAATAGGGGTAACATGTCATTAATCTTTTTTCTCCTAAAGCTCTAGAAGATTCCGAGGATTCCTGTGCAGGCGCAGCTACCCAGTTGTGTGGATTCACAGAGTACCACTTGAAGAACCATGGTTACAGGTAAGTAACCTCTCTTTTTTTAAAAAAAATTGTATACTTGCAGTGTTTTTAGCTTTTAAATATTATTGTTTTAATGATGTAAGATGTCTTGCATCTTTTTAAAAAGGCAGGGTAAAAATATTTTAAATAAATAAATGATAAATGCATTTATCATATCCTTTACATTTATGTAAGTCAGAGTTAGTCAGAGGAGTGAAATGTTTAAATTGGTTACTGCCAATGGTTGGTTGCCACTAAGAGTTCATGGCTCTCAGGCTGAAGTGTTCCCCTTATCTTCCTGCCAAAATGGGAGGCTAATGGGAGGCTTCCATTTGCTTTGAGAAACAGTATAGCACAGTCATTGGGAAGCCATATATTCCTGTGTTAAAAACGAAACAACCAACAGAAAACTATGTACTGTATGTGCCCATACAAAATAGACGTTAGTGTAACAGTAACAGACAAAGTAACAAATGCCTAAACACAAAGTAAGATGAATCCTAATCTACTTCTCAGGGATGTTATTAGCACAAACGGAAGTAAGGTTTCAAAGTTTATTTACTAACTAGAAGGGCTATATCAATGTTTTTATACATAGTGTGCAATTATAACACTGTGTTTTAGATTAACACTGAAACCTGTTCCTTTCTCTCTGCTTTTGGTGCCCAGTGTCCCAGTTCAACACTGAATTTTTCATCAGTGGAGTTGCACCCCTCTGTGACCAGCTTGTCATACTTTCTTATGTAAAAGAAATTTCAGAGAAAACTGTAAGTACTTTTATACATCCAGAGAACTAACACAAACAAGACAGAATCCAGGCACACACATTTGGTTTGGGGCAAACAAGTTCATATGTGCTTAGGTTACGGTCTTCCACATGTTTGGGAGTGAGTTCTAGTGTCAGCAACACAATTTCTTCTTGAGGAGAAATACACAAGATTTCAGATGGGCAGCTCACACCATTTGGCATTACAACCTTCTGTCACCCTTCTTTAGGTACTAGCACATTTGCAACCATTAGCAGATCCATGCCAGTGCTCCTTTAATTCTTTGCATTATTAATGGAGGCTTTATTAATGCCTCCAATGAAGGGCTTTCTTTCACCTGAGAAAAAGAAGGGAATGTTCTAGTGAGAGCACAAAAATTGGCATCCTCTGGATTCATACTTGTTTCTAGATTCCCAAGCAGTGGCAAAGCTGGGTGTGATACATTTCCAAAAGGAGGAGCTTTAAGACGGGAGACGGGGTAGAACAGGTTGCATACTTTCCAGTTTAGGATATAATTTCTGCAGTCACAAACGGAAGTGGCAATTCAAGTGAAAGAAAAGGTTCAACTCTCTTTGTAACAAACAGCGGAGGCCATGAGAGAGCCTCTTTCTCTCGGGGGGGGGGGGGTTCCACTGCCTTTGCACCTCTACTTGTTCACATCTCGTGATATAGAGCTTTGAGTGTCGGAGTAAGATATGGAAATCTAGGTTCAAATATTTGCTCAGCCGTGAAATTCACTTGGTGACTTTGGGCTAGTTGTCACTGTATTTCTGTTTAACATGTCTCAAAGATTGCAGTGATGTCCTGGGGAATGCTGTGTGCTGCCCCTGAGTTCTTTGGCAGAAAGGAGACTACACATAATTAAAGAAAAGATGCAAATAAAACATCTGCATGACTCTCCAGAGGGAGAAGGAAAAGCAAGTCGGAGAAGCTCCTCCCTCATTTTTGTAGCTGTCTAAATGTGAGAGCAAGAAAGAATCTAGAGACCCCAGGAGTCAGCAGCAGGGAGGGAAAGAACTGGATTGGTATGGCCCAATAGTTCTTTAAATCCTTAATCTTTTGTTTGTGGGGCAACAGGGGTTAAAGCTGAAGTGAGGAGTGATGTGTTGACAGGGTGTCCTTTTAAATAAAGTTTGTAAAGATGATTGGCTGCAAGTCATTAGAGTTACCATGACTGATGTAGGAAGAGCAGCTAGATGGGCCTGCTGTCTTGGTTATATGTGTCCGGACAGACAAAGAATATATTGGAGCCCTGCTTTTCTCAGGAGTGAATCTCTGGAGTCTTCATGACACATTAGTTTTGCAATACGAAATGAAAGAGAAAGAAAAAGAAAGAGGGAAAACCCTTGAAGTTACAGCATTAAGAGTGGCAGAGGCTCTTGATCATCTCCTTAATAGTGAACTGGCATTAGACAGCCATTGCTATAGTAACCTTGAGTAACTGGGTGCACACCGTTGCTAGGCAATGAAATGCCATTGGCTCAAGGCAACGCTCAAATCTATTGAAATCAATAGGGTCAGCTTCTAGCCTTCTTGCAGGACAGCCAGATTATTATTTTCTATTATTTTAAAGAAAGGAACAAAGGTACTTCTACAGCTTCTCCCAGGAGAACTAATATTGTAGTTCCTTTCTCTGTGTGAGGAAGAAAATCAAACTATCAGGTGAGAAGGTGATGTGAGATAGGAGAGAATAGTGTAAAATTAATAACAGGTTGGAGTACTAATTAAAGCATGAAGAAATCTGACCAGTAAAGTTTCACCCTGACTTGTCAAAAACTTATATGTGAAGGAACCTTTTGAAATTCAGATGGCAAATAGATTATCTTCCATTAGCTGAAGCTTGTGACACTCCAATGGCATGAGAGATTTCTAGCTCGTAAGTGCCAGTAAGAGAGTCCCACCCCCACTTTTCTAACACATGCTGTCCTTAGTAGGGATGGCTTGTGGTCCCAAAAAGGAGAGCAACTCATACTGGAATGATGGGGTTAGGTACCCACTCACTTAGACCACCACGTATTTCCAGTGCTATTTATTAAGTGCTGAACTCATTCACCCCCTTCATGGATTACCGCCTTGTCGTGGCGAAGAGGCTTGAGTAATTCAGAGAAGTTATGGGCTATGCCATGCAGGGACACCCAAGACAGACAGGTCATAGTGGAGAGTTCTGACTAAACGCGGTCCACCTGAAACAGGGACTGGCAAGCCACTCCAGTATCTTTGCCAAGAAAACTCCATGGACAGAAACAAAAGGCTAAAAGATATGATGCTGGAATATGAGCCCCTCAGGTTGGAGAACGTCCAACATGCTACTGAGGAAGAGCGGAGGACAAGTACAAGTAGCTCTAGAGCTAGTGAAGTGCTAGGGCCAAAGCCAAAAGGATGCTCAGCTGTGGATGTGCGTGGAAGCGAAAGGAAAGTCCGATGCTGCAAAAAAAATACTGCATAGGAACCTGGAATGTAAGATCTATGAACCTCGGTAAGCTGGATGTGGTCAGACATGAGATGGCAAGAATAAACATTGGCATCCTGGGCGTCAGTGAACTAAAATGGACGGGAATGGGTGAATTCAGTTCAGATGATTATTATATCAACTATTGTGGGCAAGAATCCCGTAGAAGAAATGGAGTAGCCCTCATAGTCAACAAAAGAGTGGGAAAAGCTGTACTGGGATACAATCTCAAAAATGAGAGAATGATTTCAATACGAATCCAAGACAGACCTTTCAAATCACAGGATTCCAGGCTTATGCACCAACCACCGATGCTGAAGAGGCTGAAACTGCCCAATTCTATGAAGACTTACAACACCTTCTAGAACTGACACCAAAGAAAGATGTTCTTCTCATTCTAGGGGACTGGAATGCTGAAGTAGGGAGTCAAGAGAAAAAAGGAACAACAGGTGTTTGGCCTTTGAGTTCAAAATGAAGCAGGGCAAAGGCTAATAGAGTTTTGTCAAGAGAAGAAGCTGGTCATCACAAACACTCTTTTCCAACAACACAAGAGGCGACTCTACACATGGACATCACCAGATGGGCAATACCCAAATCAGATTGATTATGTTCTTTGCAGCCAAAGATGGAGAAGCTCTATACAGTCAGCCCAAAAAACAAAAAACAAACAAACAAACACTGGAGCTAATTGTGGTTCTGATCATCAGCTTCTTATACCTAAACTCAGGCTGAAACTGAAGAAAGTGGGGAAAACCATTGGGCTAGTCAGGTATAATCTAAACCAGTGTTTCTTAACCTTTGTTACTTGGATGTTTTTGAACTGCAACTCCCAGAAACCCCAGCCAGCACAGTTGGTGGTGAAGGCTTCTGGGAGTTGCAGTCCAAAACTCCTGAGTAACCCAAGGTTAAGAACCAGTGATCTAAACCAAATCCCTTATGAATACACAGTGGAAGTGAAGAACAGATTTAAGGAACTTGATTTAGTGGACAGAGTGCCTGAAGAACTATGAATGGAGGCCCGTAACATTGTACAGGGGACAGCAACAAAAACCATCCCAAAGAAAAGGAAATGCAAGAAAGCAAAGTGGCTGACCAACGAGGCCTTACAAATAGCAGAGAAGAGAAGGGAAACAAAATGCAAGGGAGACAGGGAAAGTTACAGAAAGCTTAATGCTGACTTCCAAAAAAAATAGCAAGGGGGACTTCTTAAATGAACAATGCAAAGAAATAGAGGAAAATAATACAAAGGGAAAACCCAGAGATCTGTTAAAAAAATGGAGATACTAATTAAAGGAAACTTTTGTGCAAAGATGGACAAAAATGGTAGGGACCTCACAGAAGCAGAAGACATGAAGAAGAGGTGGCAAGAATATCCAGAGAAATTATACCAGAAAGATCTGGATGTATCGGACAACCCAGATAGTTTGGTTGCTGACCCTGAGCCAGACATCCTGGAGAGTGAAGAAGTGGGCCTTAGAAAGCATGGCTAACAACAAGGCCAGTGGAGGTGATAACATTCCAGTGAAACTATTTAAAATCTTAAAAGATGACGCTGTTAAGGTGCTACACTCAATATGCCAGCAAGTTTGGAAAAGGAAAGCAAAAAAGCAAAGTGTGCTGCTTATATACTGCCCTATAGTGCTTTAAGCACTCTTTGGGTGGTTTACAAGTTAATTATGCAGGCTACACATTGCCCCCCCCC